GGGGAGCAATTATTTAAACTGGAAGTATGATAGGTTATTGGTTTCGGGTATTTTCTTTGGCTAGCTCAGGAATACAAAAAAAACTTAGAACAAATAAAAATTCATAAGCAAAATAGCTTAAAAATGGCAGGAACTGTTATTTCCATGTTTTCTGAATTACAAACATATTGAATGAGTATAAATTCTGCACTTGTCCTACTATAGAGAGAGAAGGGATTCCAGTAGTATAATATTAAACAATATGAAAATACTTTTAAGAAAGATAATTTACTAAGCTTTACTTAATTGTTAATGTAACAATGGTTAAGATAAATGAGTTAGTATAAGTTCCCTATGGTCATATATGATTTTATAATTGACCTTTTTTCCTACAGTCTAACATTGGTAGGAAAACTAAGACATGGCTATGAAATTAAATATGTTTCAAGGAAGTTTAAATTTAATAAGATATTTACTATGGTCAATGAAATTAAACAAAGGCATATCATGATGCATCTACAAAGTGTAAGACACATGATAAGGAAAACAAAGAAGCTTACTATTAAATAGAGATGAAGAACAAAATAACAATAATTGTATTCAAAGATAAAGTACATATATGAACATGCAAAATAATTCAAAGGAAAAGTAGCAAGTGAGGAAAGAAAAATTTAATGTAGAAGTCATACTTAACATGGGCTCTAAGATTTAGAGGAACATTCAACAAGCTAAAAATCACAGGCAGATAAAGGAGAGCATTTCAGGAACGCAGGAAAGTATGAGTAAATTCATTGTGGCTTTGTGGGATAAAAGATAATGCAGTCTGGAAAGAGTTTAAGGGAGTAACTAACATGGGAGATAAAAAAAATAGCAAAAGAGAAGAATGGGAGGCTGGCTTCATTTATTCTCAGGAAAAAAGTAACAGTATCTATACAAAAACCTACATTCTTAAGATTATATTAAAAAAGATGAACTCTACATTTTTACAAAAACAAATCTACAATCTCCACAAAATTTTACATTTTAAAAACTGCATGGTTAACAAAATGAAATTTAGCAAAGACACAATAGTAAGGAAGTTCAACATGAGCTTCCAAATACCAAATAGTTTAGTTAGGAAGGAGGTTAAAAAAAAGCAACAGTGGCATAATGAAAAAGTGAGAAGGAATAATGAGAGAGATAGTTCTTATTTATGCTAACAATTTTAAAGAGGCAATGTTCATTTATGCATCTACATTTTTGAGACTGGTCAAAAACATTAACCCCAATACTGGTACAAATGCAAATAGCCATATAAAGATATTTATTTAATCCCTAGAGTTGGCCAGAAGTAAATTCAGCTTCCAATATTGGCAGAAGAGTTAAGTGGTCTTGTGAACTACCAGCAGATAAGAATCACGATGGCTAGATGGTCCAAAATAACATTTCATTATCGGGCATGTTATATGTGTAAATAAAGTGATGGCAGAAAAAAAATAGCTGGGGAGGCTGAACTAAGGCAATATCCTTCGGAAAGATGAAATCTGGATTAGAGAAAAAAATGTTAGTGTCTCTAGAAGGGAGCAACACAAAGATGCTTCTTAAAATGTACTATTAAGCAATAGTTATGATCAAAGAACTTTTCCCACAGTCTCTTTGAGTCATATCCAATAAGGGAGCCATGAGCCACACAAGGCTCTCGATATTTAAATGAAAATAAATAAAAAATTCAGTCCTTCAGGTACACTAATCACATTTCAAGGCCTCATCAGCCCTATGTAGCTAATGGCTATCATACTGAACAATATGGAAGAAGCAAATAAAGGAGAGCATTTCAGGAAGCATTTGTGAAAAACTCTGTCATCATGACAGAAAAGCCTATTAGACTATATTACTTCATAATCTCCAGCTTTAAAATAAACTAAGACATCTTAAAAATGTCATAGAAGGTGGGTGCAATGGGTCATGCCTATAATGGAGATTGGGAAGACAAGAGGTTCCAGGTCAGCTGGGGCAAAAAGTGCACAAGACCCCATGTCAACCAATGGGTGGCACTTGCCTGTTGTCCCAGCTACTTAGGAAGCATAATTAGGAAGACTGAGGTCCAGGCCAGTTCAGGCACAAACACAAAATCCTATTAGGAAAATAACAAAAAGCAAAAAGGGCTTGGGGATATGGCTCAAGTGGTAGAGCACCTGCTTCAAAAGTGCAAGGCCCTGAGCTCAAATCACAGTACGAGCAAAAAAAAAAAAAAAAAAAAAAGTCATGGAAACAAACAAGAATCAATAAGAATGAAGCGGCCCTTTGGTATCATAAAATGTTACAGAAAAATGATAAATACAGAGCAAGCAGACTTTAAAGTCACATAGAACTGAGTGCAAACTCTAATCTAGCCACTGACTTCTGTGTAATCTTAGGAAAATTATTCAATTTCCTAGCACAAAATTGAAGCAACTGTCATAATATAACAATACTATGTACAACAGATTTAATAATATCTCATAGGGTTGTGGTATGGATTAAATGATATACTAAATAGCACCTAACACATAGTACAAATACTACTTTCTTAGTTTAGCTGCAAATAAAGATAATTTTTTGTCATAACTGCTCCCTGGTAACACCACCTGGTAACTCCTTTTATTTCACATCTCATCATTTGGTAAAGAAAAATTACTACTTTGTAAGGATGTAAGTATAGACTCAAACACAATAAATCACTCTTTCAGAAAAAAAAAAGGTACATATCTTCAGCTTTATTACTAAAATTATTAATCCTTACCTTAGATGAAATAATCCGGTTATCTATAAATTTCTGAGGTGTATAAAGGCCATTCTGAGGAAACCTGTTGGCTATGTAAATAGTTCTTGTGTCACTTTGATGTGGTGGGTCAAAACCCTAAGACCAAATGAGAAAAATATTGGTCACAAGGTTAATTGTTATGATACTTTACTGTATTAACTGCTCAGACTGCATATATTATTACTTGTCTTAAACTGCAGATAGACTCAATCTATTTATTAGAAGAGTTAAAAAATTGATTTCTTTCATGGGTAAACAGGTACATCATTAGCTTTAGATATAAATGAACAAGATAATCTCTTCAGTAACAAAAAACAGTTCATATTGTCAGGCAGGCTACAACAAAAAAAATCACGTAGGAGACCTATATTAGCATTGGAAACAAAGCTTCTTTTTCTACTGCACTCCTTCTTCCTTTTCACTCCAGTGGCTTCCTTCCCTTCTCTTAGGACGGATTCCTAGTGGGTGATATGGAAGTCTGTGTAGCTAGTAAGCAATTACCATGTTTGATGGCAAAGGTTTATGTTTATCTTTACCTCTCGTACTCAGATAAACTTGGTTTCTTGCTCCCAGAGGACTTACAATTCATTAGACAGTCTTGCCTAGATTCATGCTACACAATCTTTTTTTTGTACCAGTTAAAATTTTCCTTGAGGAATATATACTCCCATCTCATTCAGAAGACCATCTATCAAGGTACCGTGGTTATAATCTCTACTGGAGAAGTTTTCACTGGTAATAAGACTACTGATGCTTTCCAGGATTGTAAATGAATCTTTAACACTCCTCTCAGATCTTGGGAACACCCTAACAGGCTAAAAGCACTCTCCAAATATGAGACTTTCTTTGGTTCTATCAGGGAAATAATTTGAAATTTGACTTCTCATTTTATGATGGTCAAGTATTTATGAGTAGTAAGTTATTAAAAGTTAATTAAACCTGGTATTCATAAGTTACAATGATGCATACTACTAAAGACTCCAGTAATCCACTAAGGAAGTAACCTGGCTGTTATTTAATGCCTAGCATCCCTCTAACATTTCCACTAAGCACAGACATACACAGATGTAGGAATTCCCATATCACTTAGAAGGATATTTGGTTTAATACATCAGTGTATTAAGTGTTATGTACAGTGTTTAACTGCTATTATTCTTGGTTTTAAATTTTTATTTCATGATCTTAGAAACAGCCTTTAATCCTAGCTACTCAGGAGGCAGAGATCAGAAGGATCATGGTTCAAGGCTGGCCTGGGCAAAAAGTTGGCAAGACCCTATCTCAACCAATAAGAAGCTGGGTATGGTGGCACCTGTCATCCCAGCTATTCAGGAAGCTTAACAGGAGGATTGAGGTCCAGGAGAGCTGGGGCATAAATGCAGGACCCCACTCAAAAAAATTAACTAAAGCAAAAAGAGCTGGGAGCATGGCTTAAGTAGTAAAGCATCTGCCTAGCAAGTGCAAAGCCCTGAGTTCAAAACCCCATAACCTCCAAAAAAATAAATTTGGGGATCTGAAAGAATATATAAATCTTCAAGATGTCAAGATAAGTGAGCCTGAGATCTACTGATAGACAATTTTTTTTTGCTATATACCCACCCAGGTTGGAGTTTATTATATACACCTAAAGAAAGAAATTAACAAGAGTTAGTTACAGTGGAAATATAAAAAAACCTAAACCTGTAAGTCCAGTTCATTAGCATCTTCTCTGCAACAAATGAAAACCAGCCACACAAAGAAAGAGAAACAAAAACAAGTAAAAAAATAAAACTAGCCAGGTGTTGTGGTTCACACCTATAATCCCAGCTACTTGGGAGACAGTGATTAAGAGGACTGAAATTTGAGGCTAGCCTAGGCAAAATAGGGTGATGGTGGTGTGCATCTGTAATCCCAGTAGCACAGGAAAGAGGATCACTGTCTAAGGCCATCCAGACAAGAATGTGAGACCCTATCTGAAAATAACTAAAACAAAATGGGCTGGAGATGTGGCAATGGTACAGCCCTAAGTCTGAACTCCAGTACCATTTAAAAAAAAAA